ACCACACTCAAAATAAAACAACTCATAATATTACAAAACCATATAACCTAAAGTACATAACTTAAAAATTAATACCAACTAGACATAAGACAGTAACAGTAATGAATCACACGTTTCATCAGGACCTTCTCTCCACTTCACTACACTTATGAAGCCTTCCCATTCTCACCCCAATTTACCCCCCTTCACTGCACCCACCCATCAGGTATGCGTGTCGCAAGATATCTCCCGAGCTTCGTTAATCGTTACAAATACACGCGTTAGTGGCCAGCTAGCCGAAGTGCGTCATACTTGCGTCTTTCACAGAACAAGTTAGGAAACGTATGCATCATTTGACAGTTGTAGTGCGTTCACCAAGATTTTGATCTCTTCACATGATGTACTGGAAAATCAATGTTCGTGGCTTAGTTGTTTTGACTTCTTTTGCGATAATCAGCTTGAAGAATTGAAGCATTGCAAATGAAGCAGGCGACGTCAGGGTTGTCTGATGTCGAGATTATGGTGCGTGTCTGGTTAGTTTCTGACGCCTTTATCCGCGATGACGTCATCGAGGAGGTTCACGGATGATGATGATGCAAAATCCTCAGAGATGTCGTCGTCACTGAACCCAAACCGCAGAAACGCTTGATGTGAAATTTCCGTTGCTGTTGTACAAATGCAGCCAAAATTGAAATGGCTCTGCAGTTTTTCGGAAGTTTAAAAGAAAACATGAAAATCCTTCCAGCCGTTCTTGGGTTTTCGTACACGTAGAGACGGGCGGACAAGGCGAGGTTAATAGTCTCTTCGCAGATTTCTGGGAAAGCGCGTGTACTCTGGAACAAATATAATCGACGGCGTACTCCTGTGATGTCGCTTATCTTTTAAAATAGACAACTGAAAGCAGATATATCTGGTAACCTTGAAGTAGTGGTGACATTGTAACGTGATCCGAAAGAAAATATGCTTTTTTGTGTCGATATTTTTTTAAAGTGTGTTTAAAACATGTAATTAACGAACAAGAAATGCATTATCGTATTTTGGCATTGAATGTATCTAAATCACAGTGAGATAAACCCCGTTGAAGCTTCTATACTACTTACATTTCTGTCACAAAATAACTTCTTAAAAATTAAATACCACCGAAATCGAATACTTTACTTATCACGATGAGGTGAATTGCAAAATGTTCTCCAGAAACGAAATATATTTTGTCAAAATGTCGCAGGTACCCACTTAAAGTCGCAAGGATCCGTTACATAATCACACATAAATTGGAATGTGTTCTGTGATGTGCGGGTGTAGGCTCACGAGTGACTCCCGAAGGTAAACGTGGCGGGTCGTATCAACCGGTTTGGTGCGGGGAGACCAGCTCCTGACGAGCGTTACAAACGCCGTTACACTACATAGATAGGCATATCTCACGTCCAAACATGCATCAGCACGGCAGTTCGTCTCGCATCCAGAGAATGTAGCCACCGTGGAACAATAAACGAATATAAACCAGAAAATCTGGTTAGGGTCCAAGTTTGGAGGGTCCCGTTGCAAGAGGTTATTTCCAGTGGCGTGTTCTGGGAAATCAACTGTATGTGACAGTGGACTGATCTCCAGACAAAGACTTCATTGCATTCAGTCACCGTGAAAGCTTCGATTCGCTTCATATGTGAGATCTGAGGTTAGCAAGGCTGCAATGAAGATGTTGGTCTTCCTAGTTTTAACGACATGTGGACTCGTAGGTATATACCAACGCTTCGGAGGCTTGAAGATGGAGACAGTGTGTTCTTCCGAAACATTGGTATCTACTTGAAAGTCCACATGTCGTTGAAACTAGGAAGACCAACATCGACATCTTAATCGCGGTGAGAATCTCAAATCTCGTATGGAACGATTTGGTTCAGGATAGATGCCGTTAGAGGGCTGTTCTGAACACGAAATGTTTTGACCGGCTGAACGTCGTTGAACTTTTCAAAAAAGTCTGTGATGAATTTGGATGGCGAGTTCCGAAACGTTATCTACTAGAACCCAACGACTGAATCATTGAAACGTTTCGCCTTCTTAACTGCCGTCTCACTACGAAGTTGTTAGTTATTTCATATGCCTTGTTGCTTCTCAAGGCCCCTTATATCTCGCGTCCAGCCTTGGAATCTCTCCTTCTGCTCTGCTCGTGACAGCATGAAGGTCTTAACTCCATTTGCTTTGTGTTCATTCAAAAACAGATTATGTTCCTTCTTCCGGTAATCCTTAAGACATTATTATGAAAGGTCTCTAATGTTGACTTATTAATACTTTCGTATATATTTTTTTAACGCAGGGGAATGAATATTTATTTAATAAAGTATGCTTATTTGTATTTTAGCCACGGTGGTCTAGCGGTTAGAACGCTGGCCGGCCTTGTAATCCTGGGGTCTCGAGTTCGAATCCCGGCGGTGCCCGAATTTATAACTTGT